ATCAAGACTACGGTAAACATCTGCAGAAGTTCCTCTTTAACTCGTTACAGAAACATTGTCTGCAGTTCTTCTACATTCAAACTCATGTCAGATAACAGACGTATAACTGAGAACAAACAAGTAAACAGTCAGTGTTACAGATATTAAGTGAGTGCTTTCCAACCAGAAGGGCTGAACCCTCAAAGGATCAACAATACAAAACCATTTCTGATCGTTATTGTTATCCTTTCTTGGGACGTACAGAATGTTTAGTGTAGTTTGATTTCAGTCGGTAGATTTTCTCAAACTGATACAAACTGAACTCTGCTCTGTTCCTGTCAGCCAACGCAGAACGGACGGAGGATGAAGATGAAACAAGAGCAGATGAAAGGAGAACAGATGACAGACATGGAAGAAGAGGAAGAAGAGGAGGAGGAGGAAGAAGAGGAAGAAGAAGAAGAAGAAGAAGAAGATGAGGAGGAGGAGGAAGAAGATGAGGAGGAAGAGGACGAGGAGGAGGAGGAGGAGGAAGAAGAAGAGGAAATTCAGGTTGAGCTAGAAGAGGTTGTAGAGGAAGAAGTGCAGGACGGGCTGCAAGAGGAAGAGGAGGAGGAGGAGGATCAAACAGCGGAGGAAAAGAAGAGGAGGAAGAAGAAGGCGAAGAAGCAGAGGAAGGAGGAGAAGAGGAAGGAGAGAGGGAAACGAAAGGTGAAGGAGAGACAAGGTGAGGGGGAGGAGGAGGAGGAGGATGAAGGGTCGGAGGAGAAGAAGAGGAGGGTGGTGGTGGTGAGGCTCGGCCTGTTGAAGGGACACTCGGAGGTCGGACGCTCCGACCTATCGGCTCCCTGAGACTCTGTTGGCTCCGCCCATTAACTCAACAGGCCGAGCCTCCAATCAGAGAGCAGGACAGAGGTCCCGCCCTACTTATCTGAAGGGGGGGGTGTTGAAAGGCATTCTGGGAATTGTAGGAGGTCAGTAACTGTGGAGGGAAACTTATGAGAGCTTTACTATAATTTACGTTTCTGTGATGTTTAAAAAAAATTCAGTTTGAACCCAGAAAAGCCTCCAAACACAAACTGAGACAATAAAACCGCCACCGCTGATTCATCACATGGTTATCTGCATCGTCTTCACCTCTGATGGTCGTGTGTCTCAGGTTAGCTGGTCTTTTGTTTCTGCTTCCATTTATGACGGTAGCGGCTTCCGAAATACATATTTTGGTAACATTGAGTTTTACAGGTTTCACAGTTTCCTGGTAATTTACCACAAAGGGCCGATGAGTAATTTCATACCTGAGAAAAGCTTCTGGACAGAACTCTGTAATTTGGTACCAACTGTAGCAGCATGTGAGGGAGTTTTTAGGTCGACTTTGGGGAGAAACTCCACAATTTAACATACAAAAGTCAATAAAATGAGAATAAAGTTCCAATTAAAGGCAGATAAGTGTTATTGATGGACTTTACTTTTCTTCACTTCGATGATTTTCACTTAAACAGTTAAACTATCTTATTAAGAAGCTACTGGAAACCGGCTTTCACTATGAACTCTCAGAATGTTTCCGTATAGTTGGTACCAAATTAACTGCAGTAGTATTTATTTTTTTACACAAGACTTTGACCTTTGGCCTTCAGAAGGAAAAAAAAACACAACTCAGTTTGGGGTAACGGCGCACATAGGAACGTAAGTTACAGAGAAGTGACCAGCATCAGGAAGTCTGTTCAGTTCGGGATGTTTGTCCAGCTGCTGGATGAGGGAAGTTTTCAGGAGGCTTTATCTTCTAATCCTGATTCGACGGTTTGACATTCTCCATTAAAAGTGACTGCACTTGGTTCATCTCACACGAAACTAAAGATATGAACTCACAGGAACAGAAAGTGGTGGACTCACTGTGGATGTTGAGGATGTTTTTGTTTATAAACTGTTTGTTTTAAACGGTTTCTGCGAGCCAAGAGGCCGAGAAAACCACCTGGAATTTATTGCTTGTTTTGTTTTTGTTTGTTTTTGTTTGTTTTATTGGCCGTAGGGAACCCAACAGAATGCAATCAAGGCTTCGGTATGCCTGTTGGAAGCGTGCTGAGGCCTTTATGCTGTGTTCGCATCATCCAACATCCAAGTCAAGTCAGAAATCTAAGTTAAATTTAGTTTTCTTAGAATTCAGGCATCTGACGAATAAAGAAAAATGTTTTTCCCCTTTGCAATGCTTTATTTTATTATCCGTAACAGTTTCCTGGTAATTTCAAGAACGGATTATGGAACTTGGTGCTGATTATATGGAAAACGGAGACACTGTTCAGTTGGTGCACTTCCAAATATTTCTACACTCATGTAGCTCAGCATTTTAGTCAAAGCACAGAAAGTATGTAAAATATTTCTACAGATGTATGAATAATATTCATTTCTTTCCTCTAATTAGAACCAGATCACTTTGTTCTCTCCAGGAAATTACGGACCCATAAAGTAAAGTGTTTAAATGATCCTGTTCTCACTGAATGATTCCACCGTTGGTAAAAACTTGGCTGAACGTTTCCCAACCAGGAGATGCTGTAATACAGTTTGATTTGTAACAAGGGCTTTTTTTTTTTTTTTCTTTGAGTTTCTCAAAACTTCTTCAGAAACGGTTATAATTTCACATGTTTAAGGACTGAAACAGATGTGTCTTCTGACTGTTGCTCTCAGATCTGAAGTTCTGATGCAGACCATCAGATCTGGTTCCTGTAAAGGTTTGCCAATAAAAAAAAGTTAATGGCTTCACCTGATTTTCGACCTTCTCTCTGTCAGCTCCCGTCAGGTGTTCGAGATCTGGGACAGTCTATCCTGGTTTTTATTTCACTTAAAAGTTATTTTGTTTAATCGCCTGTATGGAAAACAAATTAATTTAGTTTCTTCACAGTGTAAATCTCACCAGGGGAACTACAAACGTGATGCAGCAGTTTGCATCTTCACGGTATTTTTAGGCTCTTATGTGTGTTTATTGGGGGGGTGACTGACATTTAAATCCAGTTTCTGTAAAAACTGTGGCCAGCTGTCCAGAAACAGCACTACTTTGTAAACCCAACACAGTCTGTGGAAATACTGGATTTAAGTGATGGTTTCACTGTGGGCAAAAGAAATCACCAAAACCTCTGAGATCACGATCATCTCTAAAGATGCAGACTGCCTCTAGGACCCAACCGATCTGATAGACTTTAACCTCCTGAGAGCAGGAAGTGAACAGGATGGCGTCCTGAATCATTAGACTAAAGAATAAAAACCAACGTGTTTGGAACGGGTGTGAAAGAATGAAGCAGCGTGAAGGGCTGAAAGGTTTTTTTTATTTCTGTAACAGAGTCATTTACAGCCACAAAAACATCCACAGAGCTGCTGCAGCTACAATAAATATTCCCGATCACACTCCAGCTGTCAGCTGGTTCATTCTTCTTCACTGCTGGTTTTTAGAGATGAACCCGAGTCAGTGAAGAATAAAGTTAATAGACTGAATCTAATAGTTTTGGTGGTTAGAAATATCTGCGAGTTTCATAACAAGAACTACTGAGAGAAAAAAAAAAGATTAAATTCGAAATCAGATGTTTTGTCAGATTTCAGTGCGAGTAGTTTCAATGCTTACTTCAGGGGATATTAATGTGTTTTAATCCCTTTTTTAATTCAAGATTACTGCCAAATAAAGATCTCCTAAATACTAGACGGGCACTCTGGACATCCGCCAAGGTGTTTTGTTTCTACAGTGATATTTGAGATGTTATGTGTTGTTGTTTAGTCACTGCATATCTGCTGATAAATAAACAACACCAAAAACATAACCTCATTGGCGGAAGTAGAAACAGTCTAAAGTTAGAAAAGTTTCCTAACTTAGTTCTGTAGGGGTGAAGACAACAAACCTGTGCTACCCCGCCAGCTCTCAGACATTTGTTTTTTGTGTTCACTCAGTAGTTTTGTTGTTGCTAAACATCCTCAGAAGCACAGAAAAACCTACAGGAGAGAGGAACTTTTATTTTGAAGGGAAGGAAGTGGAGAAAGCAGCCAGAGCCACACACAGAGTTCAGTCAAGTTTGTGATTTAACGGAGGCAAACAGCGAGTTGACTAAACCCTGTGTGCCCACCGCTCTGGGTGTAGATAAACAGTTGTGCGCTTTATTGACCAACATCTGGCTGGAACATTAATCTGGAGCATTTTTATATTTTATAAAGGACCCATTTGGCTGTATTTACACAAGTGTTTTTAACAGACGACGACCGCCTGCGTGAACGAGACGAAGAGGATTCAGGTGGGTTTGTCCTGTGTGTGCGTCTCAGACATTGAGGGTCTTTTTGACAGTGAAGATGATGTCTTTAATCTGCGGCACGCTGTTGTCCTCCAGGATTTTGGCATACGGCATGGGGATGTCGACGCCCGTCACCCTGGTGACCGGAGCGTCCAGGTAGTTGAAGGCAGGACCTGAAAACACAAACAGGAGGTTTAAAATATTATGTTTATTAATCACCACTCTGATCGGATCTAGAGTGGATCCGTTTATGCAGCAGTCGCTCCTCCGATCCTGCTACAGCTTTTGTTTTAATGTGTTTTTTCCGGCTTGAAAGGACGGCGAACCTTCCTTTCACTGGACAACCTTGTGTTGTATAATGATGAAAACATTTTCTTGATCCTTGAAACAGCAGGTGCACTTGAAGACGCCCACAACCTACTGCTTTGTCTTCTTCCTTCATAACCTGGAACTATTCAACTCACAGCTGTTCTCCAGCAATCACCCCCCTTCCTCGTGCACACAAGGTGTTTCTACAAATATCCTCTCATGTCTGGATGAATCTCTAAGGAACATTTAGTCACCTACTGTTGGTCTGAATGAGAAGAAGCTTCACTTTATCTGTCGAAGCAGCAATGTCACACACTCTGAAAGGGGCTTTGACGCAGCCGCTCAGCTGTTACCTTCCATGATCCTGGCGCAGATCTCAGCTCCAACCCCGTACTGAGGCCAGCCGCCCTCCACCGTCACCAGGTGGTTGGTCTTCATCACGCTGGCCTCAATACACTCCACATCCAAAGGACGGATGCTCCGCAGGTTGATCACCTGACACAAAGAAGGACAGGAAGGAGTTAACGGGCTGCTGAGCACGAGTCATCTGCGTCACGTAACAACAGGTTTCTTCTTCTACCTCGCACTCGATCCCCTCCTTGGCGAGGACGGCAGCGGCGTCCAGGCAGTGACTGACGTACCGAGAGTGAGTGACCAGAGTGATGTGATTCCCTGGAACACAGGAAGGACGAGAGGAGAGAGGTTCAGGATCCCAACAGTGACACACCTCTGAATCTACCTATAAACGTGCTTTATAAATACAACCGCCTCATTAAACCGATCTGAGTGCTGAAACCGTCTCACCTTGTCTCTCAACCTTGGCCTTGCCGATGGGAACGGTGAAGTCTTTAGACTGGGACTCCTCCGACATCTCGAAGGGAACGCCATACATCAGCTCATTCTCCAGGAACACCACTGCAACACACACACACACACACACACAAGCAGAGAACAGTTAAAACAGGGACATTTTAATGGTGGATTTAAGGATTAATGCATCCAAGAAGCATTCAAGACCACTTGCTCAAACCTCAGGAGGTGGTTTAAGATACCTTTTAGCCAGAATCAGTCTCTCTGAGATGGATGTGTAACTTTTAGTCCTCACAGATGTGACTACATCAGTAAGTGCTCTGAGCCAATAATCACTCGCTGTGAGAACGACAACTAGCT